AAAGACAAAAGTGATGGGGAATAAAATTGTTAAATAGAAAAAAAAAAACTCTCCATACACTAGATTTTATTTTACAAACTAATCAAGACCTGGAAATTAATTATAATTTTTTCTCAACTGTGCAACAGCCACAACAAAAACTCAATTTGCTTCTGCAGAATCAAACAAAAAAAGACAATTACATAAAAATGGAAAATAAAACACACACCTACAATTGGTTTGATTTTATGTCTGAACTTGTCCCCAACTGGTGGCTGGTAACAGAAATATACTTTTTTCTGATCTGTGAAGCAGCCACATAAGAGCGACTGGTTCTCTGACAAATCATTCTATAGGGAATAAGACTTAATTTTAGACATTGGTCTCATTATAAGTGTTCAAAAGTTATTGCACATGAAGCACAGGGATACAAGAAACCATATAAAATGGAAGTTGCACCTTTCTACTGTTCTGTTGAGTTTTCTAGTGATACTGCCACCAGTGGCCAAAGCGTAGAACTGCAGCCCTCTTATGCTTGTTTGCGCAGCTCGAGCTCATACTTAAGGCTATTTTTTTTTTTTTTTACTTTTTTCCACCTTACCATCGATTGCCATCAGTGGTTGCTTCTTACGATGTACAAAATGCATTTCGAATAAAACGCTTCCATTGTCTGCTAGTTCTGACTCATTTAACATGGATGCACTTGACCTCACATCCACAGAACAGCGTTGGAAATTCCTGCCTGAAGTTAACTCAGGAAAATAGGCTAAAGGCCTATAGATGCACTGAACTACTGAGGTGTCAGTCTTCTCATCAAGCAATGTTTTAGTCTTAAAGGGTCAAATAAAAGATATTTCTTTTAGTGCAAACGTACAGAATGTCTCTAAGATATAAAGGAAAACCTTTCAGATTCTCTCATAGAACACTCTGGAGTTGAGTTGAATTTTTTATGTTCGATATTTTGTTCACAATATATCAAATTAGTTATGATTCCAAAGTTAATGTCAGCTACAGCGATGTCCCAAGCCAATAATGAATTAAGAAATCAATCCAATATTTGGCTAAAAAGTATTGCAAAGAGTTTGTTAACTGGATTATAGAGATTCTAAATGATGTCTTTAACTTACATAGCAACACTCTTAGAGCAGTAACTATACAAAAATTGTAAAAGAACATCTTAACATTTTGCATTTAAAATGGAAAATAAAATTTTTTCATCCGTCAATACGCTCTATCCAGAACTCAAGCGGACACACCTTCATACTTTCTTTCTAGTTTAAAATCTATAAGGAAACATTTTCTATCTGATTATTAATTGAATCAAAAAAATAATCAACAGATTAATCAATTATCAAAATAATTGTTAGTTGCAGCCCTACTGGGCATCTAATTCATCTACTTGGTTCCAACCAGGGCATTTACATGATGCATTTTTATGCAATTAACTCTTAATTTCAAATACCAAATTATTGTGAACAGATGTTAGATCAAGGTTTAATCAGATGTTATGCAAAAACTCAAGGAGAACGATTGGTGCTTCTAGAAGTTGGGGAGAAAAAAGGGCTGGAATTTAGTCATATCAATCCCAAGTGTCCTGTACATATAGAGCACTTTTTCAAACAAGGAGACTTGACCAAAGTGCTTTACACGACATTCAGTCATTCACCCATTCACGCACACACTGATGGTGGCAAGCTACATTGTAGCCGCAGCTGCCCTGGGGCTCACTGCTGTACACTGCTGCCACTGGCTCCTCTGACCACCATCAGTAGGTAATGTGGGTGAAGTTTCTTGCCCAAAGACAACATAGAGCCAGAGCTGGGGCTTGAACCGACAACCCTTTGGTTGCAAAGAAAGCTCCTGGATCCGACCCCACTGTGTTGGATATATAAGCATATGCAGTTTTTTTTTTTTTTTTTAAATGGGCTGAATTTCATTAAAAGTTCTGGGGATCAAAAATACCTGCAGTCCAAGAAAAACACTGTATCAACATTTTTACATTTTTTTTACATTTTTTACCCCCCAACCAATGTAAACTTAAAAAAACAAAACAAAATAAAGTACTTAACTAAAAAGGATTTCATGAACTCCCAAGCCAAATAAATAAACGCATTAATTTTTAAAATTTATTTTGAAGTTATTTGATAAAATATTTAAAAATTAGGCAGTTTATATATAAAAAAAACAAAGCAGTAGTGCTTTTCCATTTTAACAAACCAGAAGAACATGTGATGCACTGCAAAGATTGATAACTCACCTGAATTTTTCTTATGTCTTTAAATGCTTTCATACTGGCTATAGCTCATGTGTTTGGATGTTAGTAATGCTGTTCTTTTATAACGAATTACCGAGTTATAATTTAATTATCAAAGAAAGCAGTAAGATATTTATATATAGATTTGCAGGTGAAAAATATTAAAGCTTATGGATTAGGTAAAACTGAAACAAACTGGTGATTATGAAATCAGAGGACCTAAACCTGCGTCATCCTCTGGCTAAACTAAGACTTGCAGTTAAGGCAACTTACAGCAGCAAAATGCTCTGTTTAAGTAACCTGCTCCCATTACATTATCCGGTTAGTTTGAGTTTATCTTATTCCAGAAAAAGTCTGCTTCTCTGGCTCCGAGCCAGGAGGTTTGAGTGGTTTTGGAAAAGTTTCTTATCCCATTTTGCCCCGGGTGGTGATGGAGGGAGCTCTGTAAGGAAGCCACAGTTGAAAGGCAGAGTTGGTATGCACACATAAAGCTACTCAAAGCCAGCAGGTATGTGTGGAATGCCTCTTCGTCCAAACAACGGGACTCACGCCTGACACAGAACCATGCCAAACACCACACAATGATGTCGGAGGGAGGTAAACTCTGAAGAGCCCACTAGCGACTCTGCAGTCAAAACTTTCTTTTCTGCTAGCTAATTTAGAAAAACAGGTAAAATTCTGAACCACTGGTAAGAAAATGGATCAATTCCAACAAACATATAACGATAAATCCTAGAACTGTATATTTAATGCCTGAATGCAAACATTTCTTCAACATGCGTTAACAGGCATAAATTTAAGGTTCTTTACACAGTTTGAGTTGCGTGTTAGCTTGGTTAACCTGCATGTTTGAACAGTTGAGGTTTCTTGAATGCAGGGTAATCACCACAGTCAAATGTAAACGCGGTGATTATCCTGCACTTATATTCAATTTAAACTAATTCAAAAATACTTAATCAGATTCAAAGGAAAATGAAACGTTGGGGCTCATTATGTAGGTTTCTTGAAAGAGTTGTTCGTTTATTGGTATGGAGGCCATTTATAACATTTCCTCTCAAGACATTTATGCAGAGTCAGACTGACTAAAAAGTAAAAAAAAAAAAAAAAAAGAAGAAGAAGAAGACAGTGAAGAGGAAAACAGAATTACTGAGTATAATGGCTGAAACAATTAATCTAGATAATCATGATGAATCAGTTATTTAAATAGGAATGGGGGGGAGGTTCCAGCTTCAAGGTTAGTTAAAAAAAGCCACTTTATTTCTCTGAATCATTGTATAAAAAGAAGCCTTAACGCTTCTAGCAACTTTAACTTATGACGTCTGCAGTTAGTTACAGCTATGAATAACAACATCTTTTATGGTATTCTATGCTATTTTCTTAGCAAAGTATGTAATAATTGAATATGTTGTAATCAGGATGTTTGGCTCGCCCCTCCCCCGGACCAGCTCCACAATAAATGCATTGCTTTTACTGCAGGTTAGATGATTAAAACACATTTTATGGAGCATTTTTTTTTTTATCATTTATACATTTCAAACAAAAATTCTGTTTCAAAACAGAGTTGTTGTTTTTTTTGTGTTTTTTTTTTTTATTTTATCTCAAGATTTTGTTTAGTAATTTTTCATACTACGACCGAATAATGTTACGACTTTATTCTTGAAAAGTTACGACTTTATTACATTTGATCACTGCTGCATTTTATGGAATGGAAATTTCGTCTTGTATACACAGAGTGTATACAAAATGACAATTCAAGTTGTTCAAGTAATTCTCATAACGTCACAACTTTATTCTAAAATGTTATGACTTTATTTTCAGAATTTTGCGACTTTATTCTGATATTATTAGGATTTTAAATACATAATAAATAAAAAAATCTCTAGCCTGGCCTGGTACTCCGTCGTATCATACAGGTTTGTTTTCATAAATTTTTTTTCTTTACAGGATTTCATTTTAGTTTTTTCTATTACTTTATTGATTTACGGATTATTTTTTTTGCTCATGTGATTTTCTTTTCAAATTGGCGTCTTTCTTTGATAAAACTGTTGTCATTTCAGACAAAAAAAAACCTAAAACACAATTCAGCTAATTTTCTCTTCATTTTTTTGATAATGGGATAATGTGCCAAGTACTACATTTTAATAAAAAAACGGGGGTAGATCTTATGAATCAATACTTTGTAACATGCATATGGAGCCCCTCATTGAATATCAGTAACACAAAAACACATTTGACACTTTTTTGTTTTCAAAAGGTGTTTTTTGTATTTTCAGTGCTTATTTTGGAGAATATTTAGGCAAGCCTCAAAAATGTTGATGTTTGTACTTTTTAATCACCTATATATCAGATACGGTCACTCTTGATAACTATTGTTCAATCTCTTTCTGCTGGGCAAATACAAGCTTTTCAATTCACACTTTATAACTAAAGTGTCTTCTTTGCTTGTCAAGTTACATCAATCCTATGGCTGCATGGACTTTATGTTAGGAGAGCAAAGAGTTATTTCTTCCAAACAGATATTATGTCATACAGTATGTGAATGTGAGAGATCAATAAGACCACTTTGACTAGTATATCTACAAGTTATCATAATTGTTTGCTTCTCAAGTAAATATATAAGTTTTTTGGAGCTTTGTAAATAAGGTTGAGGCATACTGTACATGTCACACCATTCAATATTAAATATTCACCCAGACCATGAATGTACTTTGTTCAAGAAGCATATCTATATTAAAATAGGATATACTATACATGTTTAAACACTTACCTCTTTTATGCAGCCATCCCTCCTTGACGATCACCACATTGGTCATGTTGGAGGGCAAGGTGGAGGATCCAGGTTTCCAACAGGGAGAGACACAACTTTGTTTTCTTTTCTCAGCCCTGTGCAGGAGCCTGCAGATGGGGTCCTGGGGTTTAGGGCCGCCTTTTCAATGGTGGTAACCTATTAGTAGAGGAAAAGTAAAAATTAGCCCACAGTTGAGGTGAAAGATTTTTTTTTCCCCTCCATGTGTCTAAATTTTAACCTTCAGATCAACAGAGCAGAGTGGAAGCAATGTAACCGAGAGGATCCTTGTGCTTTATGGCCCAGTCAAAGGAGGACATGCTACAGCAGCAGTGGCGTCGTTTGAACAAGTGGAACCTGCAACATTTCAAGGTTCGAATAACTACGCAAGGCCGTGTGTTTTGGCATTCAGGATGAAGTCTCCCGTATTGGAAAATTCCACGCCGTCTACAACCAGCACAGCCATTTTTGATAGACCAGGAGTTTTTCCCTTCCACTTATGACCACAACAGCTCTTAAAAAAAAAAGAAAATTTGATGACGTCAAATCATTCCCGCACAAGCCACACACATTAATAGACTGCTGGGCTTGCTTGCTGTAGTATCAAAATTGTTCCTTCAGCTTTAAGCAAAGAAATGTTTCCAATTTCCATCTTCTAATATCACAACTATTCTGAAACACTAATTCCTGGAATGCAGATCTGACCCATTTTTTTCCAATGGGAACTTCAAATCAATTAAAAAAAGGAAAAGGGAAAGAATGTGTGCCAAACCTATATAGTTTACTGATTAATTACGGTATATCTAATGTTATCAAAGCAGCGTAGGTATGTTTTCAGCTGATGGGGGTTTGCAGCATTGAGGAAGAAAACATGTTATTAAAAGCTGCCAGTAAATAAATGGTAAAAATAAATGCATTGATAAATGGTTTGGATTGGGTAATTGTGTGGTGTTGTAATGGAATAAATAACCAAACGCATTTTATTTCTGGCAGTATAATCTAATCTACAGAAAACACTGGCAAAAATCAAACCTACTACATTTTAACGTCCTGGATCTAAATATCTCTGATGTTTTACCACGTTTTCTGCTGACATGTTCAATCGATGCATTTCAGTGAGTTTGGTTATAAAGTCACTTTTTTATACTTGGGGGAAAAAAAAACTTTAAATTTAGTTTAACAGATTAGAAGCAACACTGAAAAAAAAAGTTTTTAAACTTTTATTGGATAGAGAAAACAAAACCACTAACCGCCTGTCAGATCAAATTGACAGACTGGTCAGTTAGGAATCCTCTCAAACCTGGTCCATCCAGAGGACAGTCTGAAAGACGTGGGTTTCTCGTTTTCATAGCGCTTTTCTGGCGCGTACAAAAACGATATAAACAAGGAGATAAATGTGTTTAACACAGTTTCAGTGGCAGTTCCGCTCCTTCAAAGTCAAGGTATGGGTCCAATGCACTGAAGAGAGCTTTAGTAGAGGGAACACAGAATGCACCACACCAAAGCACTGCAAGATTCCAGTAACACTCTTCAGTATGGAAGGCATTGCTGCAGGAAGGCTCTGAGTTAGCTGTTCTTGTACCAGAGTGGTATGAGAAGCTACATTAAAAAGAAGCACTAATATGTAAAAAGCAAATAAAAATAAAACTGTAATTGTTGTTCAACATGTTGTAGAAAATATAGTAAAACTAAACTTATTACAGTACAGTATATTTCCCCCCTTCTTTTTGACATTTGAAACTTTTAATAGAACATGATAACCATAGAAAAACTGGCAGATTTTGAGAAATCAAGGGGTTCAACCTGAGTTTTAAAATAACAACTCTGTCATTTTTTTTGTAGCTTTAAAAAATATGTAAAATCTGAGAGCATAAATAAGCCAGGAAATGAAAAACAGCATTCTATTAATGCTCTCTATTAAAGTATTTCTATGAATTTCTATTATTAAATGACAATTAAGGAAGAGTTTGTTCACTTGCTTTTAAGAAATTCAGAACAACTACTTAAAATCATATAAACCACAATTCACTCCAACCTGGAATCATTTTAGTTTAAAATATCTGGGGCTTTTAGAGCTTTTAAGCTAGGCCAGATATTTAATATCTACTGTAACTAAAGAGTCAAATCTAATTGGTGATGAACAATCAAGATCAGGTTAGATTTGTCTTTAGTATTTATAGTTTTAAAAGATCAAAGAAGAAAAAGCATTAATAAAAAATCTACTTTGTGGATTAATACAATAATCGAAAAGCATTGAAGTGAAAGTCAAGACAATGCTGACTTGTTAAGGTGGAGTAAAACATGTACGAGTTCTAAGAACAGAACATGTAGCTACAGAAAGCAGAGGTCGACTAAAATTAGTCCATTAGTCATCCACCAGTGAAAATATTTTCATATTAATAAACTAACAAAATAAGCTTTCAGCCTCCGTACTTCTGTTTGAAATGTCCATCGATAAAGGGGCCTGGTGCCGTGTTGTTCATTTGCCATTTTCAGGACTATTTAGTGCAGAACTTCTAGTACTGCAAAATGCTAGGTCTGTGTTTAGAGAACAACAACTTCCGTCTCTGGTTGGTCAAGCAGAATACATAAAAAACAAACACCTCACTTACATATATGTCTTTTTTTAAATCAGATGCGTTATTTGTTTATCCTGAAAGTCAGCAGCTTAAAGTGCTTCACAAAATAAATGATTTGATGGTAGAAATTTATTGAGAATCTATGACATCTTTTACTTTGAATCTTAAAGATATTTTGAGTATGTCTTTAGATTAGCATTGCTGCTAAAGTTTAAAGCCTTGACTTTACAGGACTATTCTAACACAAGAGAATGATTTGATCTGAACCATACCATAGAGTCTCTGGCTCCATGTTCAGAGCCGTTGCGCTCAGTCCTGCTCTAAAGTTGTTGGGGTTTTTTTTGGTGCATCCTTTACATTTTTTTTGCCCTGAATCACCGCTATCCCTTACACACTTTCCCTGTATTGCAACAAATGAAAATAATAATAATAATAATAAAATGGCATGTCTTTATGCTTCTACTAGAGGTTTGGGGGTAATTATTTTTATTTTACAGATTAAAGAGTTCTTCTACTCCATATCTTTCTTCAGTTCTCATGTGTTCTTTGGTCTTCATGATGCTCATTGTTTACAGAACGATCTTCAACAACCTCAGGCATTTATAGAGCAGCTTTACTTATGCTAAAATTAATTTACACACTGTTGAATGATACAACCTTGTCAAAACTATTTATCGTTTGGCTTAAACGTCACCCTTATATGGCAATTTGTTTCGCACCATAAGATTAAAAAAACCCCAATGAAGTTAACTTTTTCAAGATACAGAAAAAGTTCAGAAGCTATGGATAATTTTACAAGACACAGTATGTATAGTAAAAAGGCATACAGTGTCATCTGATAAACTGGCTCAAATCCAAAACAGTTATCAATCATCCATCAACAGCACGCACTAAAACCCTGCAGGCTATCATTACAAAAACACATGACGCTTTGATCCATCCACGCCTGCTTTATATGATATAAAGACTGCTTTGAATACAGGGCGGAAGGAAAACAATGATCAATTGCCACACTTGCTTTCACAAATGTCACAGCGAACACCAAGCAATTCCTGACCATTGACTAAAATCAATTTTTCTGCAGCTAAATCAAAGGGGGAGAGAGAGAGAGAGAGAGCGAGAGAGAGATGTGTTTCACTGGCCTCATTCAGTTTACTGCTGAGGCCAAACAACAGGAAGTGAATGTGACAATTGACAGACAAGTCATACTAGTACAGCCCAATGCCTCACTACATCTGTCACTAAACATGTAGTAAACACGTTTACTTACTTCTATCAGTGGGCAAAGGTGAGAATATACCTTCATGCAGGGGTGTTTTTTCTTTTTTTAGATCAAAAATAATAACACTGAGTGCAACGACCAAAAAAAAAAGTTTAAACCTGTGAATCAAACTGTGTGGCACATGGGAGGATATGTCACACAAACAAACTTGATCGTACACAGAGCACCACAGCCTAAAAAGCAACATATGCATAAGAGCGGCTCTGGAGCCACAACAGAGCGCTGCTGTTTTAATGGGAGCGACCTGTTGCTACTGAAGCCTGTGTGGAAAAAGCTGGGCTGCTGCCAGCGCTTCAGCCACTAAATGAACCCAGTACCCCGACGGCGGGTCACATGGTCCGCAGGCCTCTGGGCCACCGCCTGCCTGGATGTCCTCATGTCAGGGCGTTTTTTTTTTTTTTTCTTCCTCCCAATCATTCATCTTTCTGGCTCCAGCTTCAGGAGGGTAAAAGGAGGGACTGGGAAAGTGCCCCCCCCTCCCTCCAATTAGATGCAAATCATATAGCAAAAGATGCCCCACACACTGAGCTGAGTGGGTCAGACAGGACGGTCCCATGCATCTCATGCAGGAAGCAGAAAATAAGGCCAACGTCATCACACCACTTCCGTCATCGCAGATCAATAGATACAAGTGTGTTTCTCCCATTTTTCTTGGTAAATAAAATGAGTCAGCAGAAGAATCATCTCTACGTCAGCTTGAACAGAAGACACAAATATCCAAAATAATAACTAGCAACGAAGCAGATCCAACAATCTCATGTGCTGGTGACACTTGTGTTTATTTAATTGCCACAGTGGAACTGGTATTAGTATGAACTACTATACAGTCCCAAGTTCCTCTTTCAGGTTCCCTGAAAATAGACCATTGAAAATAATAATAATAATAATAATAATACTGCAGTTACGGTAGCTGAGCAACCCTGAAAGACCCACTGTTTTAATCCTGTGATGACTTGAAAAGCAGAACCTTTATGACTCACATTAATTTATTTACTTTTTATGCTCCTCTGGCATGCCGCAGTCAGCACACGCAACTGGCCGAGAAAAAAAGTACAACACATTTTTGGCTGAAATGGGTTTTTTTTTTTTTTTTTTTTTTATATAAACTCCTGTGACCCCAAACTAGGTTTGCATCCCAAATCTGTCTGCATTAAGTGACAACATTTCCAGCAACATTCCTCGGATTCTGCATGCAACCAGTGGCACATTTGCGTCAATGGAGCTGTTGGGGGGGAGGGAGGGATTGGGTGGGAGGTGACTGGTATTTTCTAAACAGAACATGGAGCGAGCCAAGCAAGTCACCAGCTGCTTCATTACGCCAGCTTGTTGCGTCTTCGCCGGGTCACATGCCAGGCCCCCATTGCGTACACACAAACGGTCGGACGTAGTCTCATGACCGGTAAAAACATTCAGACACTTGAAAGCATGAAGGGTAAAGCGTGCCTGGGGACAGTGTGGTTCTACAACCCTGGGAAATGGAGACACGTGGAGATTAGAGCTGAACGTGTCTAAGACAAATTAATGTTACATTTTCAGCTCATCTTTAAAAATATGTATCAGACGCTGATGCCACAATGGATAACACTCAACCTCGTAATAGTTTAAAACAGCAACATGAAGAGGTAGCTTTTATATTTACTTTGAGCATCTGTTGACAACACATAAGGCGTTTCTACCTGTATAATTTTATTAGTTCTTTATTTACCTACTTTAAAATCTATTTTTTTATTTAATAAGGGGTTTACCTCTACACTGAAGAGCTGCACCAAAATAACAGGAGTCGTACAGAAGACTGCATAGATTCAGAAATAATCATCAAAGTGGATTATAATGAGGGTCAAAGGTGACTATTATTTTTAAAACGTTTATAAAAACATCAAGATCAACTGCCAATTAAAATTATCTCCAGACAGACTTCAGTCCTGGCTTTTGATTCCAGACTACAGCCTAAACCAGTCAACACCATAAGGAGGAAGTAATAAAAAGAAAAAAGAAGAAAAAAAAAAAACAGTCCTATCGCTTGACCTTCAGAAAGAGGTTCTTCAGGTAAGCTAAAGTAGTCAGAGTGGGGGTTAAACTTTGGTGTAATGTATAACACAGTCACGCAAATGCTTCCTTTAAGAACAAATTACAAAATCAGTCAAAAGACACTTCTCTGACATAACTTCAGCACATAAGTCACTCTGGGTGTTGGTCATTTTATCACCTTTGCTCATTTCGTGTTTGACTTTCTTTGGTTTTGAAATGGCATCTGCTCCAAGGGACTTTTTGTCCTAATGTACCCCCATGTTTCTTAACCGCTTTGACACGCCGTCATTAGAAGAAGCTCATCTAATTCATTCATAATCTAATCAAAGTTTCATTTTGGGGGGGGTTAAAGGGCTTTGGTGTGAAAGGAACTGAACTAAATGCTTTGTTTTTGTTTTGTTTTTTTAAAAGATGGCCTTCTTTCAAAAATACAGAAATTTAAAATAGACTTGAACTTCTTAAAAACATGATTTTTCTGCCTTAAAGGAAGAAATAAAACAGGTTTTTCAACAAAAAACAGCTCTGGAGCTAGAAAAAGAAATACTTTGTGACTTATCTGTTATGCAAAGGCTAAAGTGAGTTGTGCATCACTTGAGCAATTTAATTTAGCATCAGTTAGGCAAACAGTGTCTCTTGTGATTTCAGTGGTTGTTCAGCTATGGTCTACTGTAGAGAAACGTGGTTAGATGACACCAATAAATAACATCTTACTAGTGAGAGGTTACTTATAGTTATCTTGTTTAACTAGCAGGGGTCATAAATGGTGCCAAGAATCAAACTTAACCAAAATATTGGGTGTAAAACAAATATTCAAAATGATATTAACATGAAGCAGCTTAATTGCATAAATAATTTGTTTACAGGTGTGAACTGAACACTATGATCTGGTAAGTCTCCCCTTTGTGCCATTAGACTGCTGAATGTTTTGTAAAATTGGTTATTTTATTGTATTTTATTATATTTTATCATTCTAAAAAAACTAAAATGTGTTGTACATTTACAGTCATATGTTTATATGACTGTTTTTGTATATTTTTCACTATTTTTCTAGGCTGCACTTTAAAAGAATGAAATTGTCTAGGTGTTTTAAACTAAATATCTTTTTTGTTTTACACTTGTGTATACAAAATGACTAATAAATCTGTCTAAGTTCTTATACTCTGTGTGATGTCATCATCCCAAATACACACAAAGCATCACAAACTTCAGTTTTACTTTAAATGCACTAGAAAATGTGACCTAGCATTTTGCTGTACTAGAAGTTCTGCACTAAATAGTCCCTGAAAATGTGAAAAGAAACAACAGAAATCAATCCTTTCTCCTCCATCTTTTAATTCTTTATTATCAGATACTGTTGCTTAAAAAAAAGAAACCTCTGCATAGTAACTTTTAACAAAGTCCCCTATCATTGCCACACAAATAAACTCACAGTGATTTAGAGCAGATATGAACAACTGTCATTGCTGTAGGTGGTGTTGATAATGACAGTGAAGACATGAAAAACACGCATTATCTCATTGCACTGATTACTAGAGTGGAAAACTACTAAATAACACTGTTGTGGCCATTTTTTCCTCCCTTAAGACCTCCCTGAAGCACTAAATTGTGGACCAGGAGAGTTAAAAAGGCCCCCATTTTGAAGCACAACAAAGGTGGGCTACTTTTCTTTGCTGTTAGTAACAGAAAGATTCAACTTTTGGTAATAAAGGAGATAAACAGTTGCAGAGCTAGTTTTTTTTAATGAAACAATGAATGAGCTGCCCTCCTCTTGTTGAGCTCATTTGTTTTCATCCGGCTCCATGGATCTCCAGCACAAACAACTTTTCCAGCAGAGGTGGACACTTTCAAGCACAAGCAGATACTTTGGCGTGTTCGCTGAGGTCATTGTCAAAACCTGAGTGGTTAACGAATTTAAAAATGGGCTTAAAAGCTGCAATAGAACTTATTAAGTTTGATTTGGAAGCCGACTTAAAGGTGGAGGAGCTTCCTCGGTAAAGAGAAGCGACCAAAAGTGGCTAACTCCAGGTTTAGCGATAGAAAGGGGCCTAGCGGGGCAGCTTGGGTGAGAATAACCGCATCTCATGTTAAGTACAATGGGGACCTACCCTGTTTTAGCTCTCGGCCTCTTGTAAACAGCCACGCGAAGGAAAGGCAGACATTTACCTGGACAGCAGCTCAACAATGTGCCCGTCTCATTATACTTTGGTGTTTCGGCGGTGTTTTAGGTTGGTAAGTCCTTCAACAATGTGGACAGAAGTGCTCTCATTTACTCCGTTTCTCCTTGCCTTTCTTCCACTACACCTCCCAAACGCACTGTCTGCTGCTGTGGCAGAACGGCGTCTCCTGGGTCCTAAAGCCCACTCGGTTCAATTCACTGGCGAACTGTCACTGAAAGGAAAACATGTGCATGGCCTCGGTGAACCCTCCTCTATGGAAGAGGGTTAGGGCCACTGAAAAATAAAAAAAGATAACTGAGTTTTAAATATTATTTCAGTTTAACGTGGGGAAAAAAGTCTGAATTCTGACTTTAATCTGAGAATTCTGACTTTTTTTAAATTCTGACTTTAATCTCAGAATTCTGAATTTTGGCTCAGAATTCAGACTTTTATCTCAGAATTCTGACTTTTTTTCCCCTCAGAATTCAGAATTTTTTTTCTCAGAATTCTGACTTTAAATCTCAGAACTCAGATTTTAATCTCAGAATTCTGACTTTTGCCCTCAGAATTCTGACTTTAATATCAGAATTCTGACTTTTTGCTCAGTATTCTGACTGAATTCTGACAGCTAACAAACATCTTAGCATCCAGCTGTAGCCATGTCTGTTTTAGAAACTAGCTTTCTTGTTTTAATGACCTTCTACCCCTTTATTAATGAAAAAGCATCCCAGAGGACCCCTCGGGCACGTAAAAGAATGCTTAATTTCGTCATTTTGCACCAAAGTGTTACTGGCTTTCCCAAACAACTAACATCTTTTTGAGTGAAGCTGAGTGCTCCCACATCTCTTCCTTTATGGTGGCCATCTACATTAAGATCCACATTTCTGAGATTAAAGTCAGAATTCTGAGGAAAAAAGTCATAATTCTGAAATATAAGTTAGAATTCTCAGATTAAAGTCAGAACTCTAATTTTTTTTTTCTCATATTATAGTGAAATAAAATTTAAAAATAAGTTAACTTTTTGTTGTTTTTCAGTGGCCCTAATCCTCTTCCGTACTCCTCTGTGCTACCTACATGGGTGTAGATGACCCCAGAAAATAAAGGTGTATCTCAATCAGTGGTGGTTCTAGATAAAATGTGGGCCAATGTTCTTGGGGGCACCGCATTAAAGATCCAACAATAAAAACAACATCAAAACATTGCAATAGTCCATGATGAGGCCATGAAACTGAACATAAAAAGTGATTTGCCAATCTAGAATCCTCTAATATAGCAGATGAATACCGTAATCATATCTCAATATGACTTAAGATAAAAGTGCAACCACAGCTTTTTTCCAACATTGTTAAACTAAAACTATAAAAATGCAAAACTGGTCCAAGGAAACCAGCATATCTCAACAATGGGAATGAAATTTACATTGTTATTTCATAGGGCACCGAAAATACAATGGCAAACACACCAAAAAAAAAAAAAAACAGTGAAAGCGCAAAGTATGTATTAGTATATAGATGAGCCATAAAGAAAACTCCATACTTCTCACCAAGTATGTTCTTGACAAGAACATGGGAACGTATGGACTTGGGGAGAATAGGAGCATGCAGAATAAATCAGGGTCAATTGGAACAGAATCGTGACATCACCCCATTCAAAGCTGGTTATTGATAGTCTCTAGATAATAATAAATTCTTACTTTTGTCATCTAATCTTTGTCATTTCTTTGTCAGAGCTTAATCTTTGACAAAGATTAACACAGCCAGATAAACACAAATCAAATAAACATTCTGCCAAATAAAAAATCAGAGCCAGCGGCACTTCAAACACTTCTATATCCTAACCTTTTTCTAAATTACAAACTAAATTAGTAAATGGGCCATATAGTGAAGCTTACTTTTGTAGACATACATCAAAATGTACTTCTGTAGAACAACAGCAACAGAAAAGAACTTTCAACTTAATACTCTGAGCTCTGTGAGCGCTCCCCTGGAAGCTGCTGCTGCAGTGCATGATGGGACAGCTGTCTATCTGGAGAAGGCACAAGTCTGCTCTGATGCATGCTGGGTAAAGTAGGAGGGACGTTCTCAGTTTTTTGTTCCTGTGAATTGAAACAGTGCACGGGCACAAGTACACAAATTGAGAGACGGCCATTGATTTAGTATTACATTATCAAAACATATCTAAATAAGTAAAATGCTCTTAAAATAAGTGTATTTGCCCTTAATTCAAGAAGTTAAATATGATAATCCACCAAAGTAATGGGTATTTTCCATCTTATAATAAGAAGGTAAGATATGATGCACTTGAAATAAGTTAATAGAGTTGTTTTTTCTTATATTAAATGTAAATCACTGTACTCCAGCGTATGACATAAGGGAATGCTAAAAGTCACTCAATGGGTTTTTCTACAAAAATTTATTCTTTTAAAACATATATGTACATTTATAGGTCCTTTATACATGGCTGACTCAGTAAAACAAACTCTACAAAGGACACACATCTTCTTACTAATCACATCAAATCTGGTATCATATGAAATTAGAGCAATTCCCTTTTTAATAATATATAAGATATCTTTGCAGCAGCCTTTCTGAGAAAGTAATATCCTTACATTAGAGCTTACATACTACTGCGTACCGAGCTAAGTAATTTTAAAAAAATAACTAATATTGACTAATACCGAGCTATGTAATTACTATGTAACTAATATTGACTGATGGTACAGTTTGATGATACACATGACCAAAGGCTCATTTACAAGCAAAATAACTCTTACCATGTATATTAACAATGTTATTTGACCAGATCTCCTTACATGAGTTGAAAAATACACTAAAAAAGATACACTTGATTTAGTCCTACTTATGAAGTTATGTTTAATATGATGGCTTTTAGTATCTCAGGCATCTCCTGGATTTTCAAAACGATTACAGTGGTGTTTGTTTTGGGTGAGGCTGAAGTAATTAGATTTTTTCGTTGTTTAATCACATATAAATCAGACAGATATATTTTCTACTGCTACAAAAAGTTTGCATTTTAGACCAGATAAAGGCAAATATAGACTTAAATTCATTTAATTGTGTATTTGCAGAATGAAACTGACTCCAAAACCCAAGTACACAGAAAATAATTATTCTCAGTCGTTTAAAATAGGCTGCAGTCAGTTATGTGGTACCTTTGAATATTATTTGAGCTCAATCTGTACATGTTTTCATCTGAACCGTGATGCTGCTAATTGTGTTTTTGTGTGAATAGAACACAAACACCAATGAGCATCTTGAACCATAAAAGTGATCAAATAAAATTGGCGCAGCTCTGGAAAAAAAAAAAAATAAGAAATTCAATTCAGTTAAAAAAGGAAAGCCTCTCTATAATATACTGCAGACAAAATTATGAAGTTTAAGTTTTTTTTTCATTATTATTTTGAATGTTTTTCAAACAAAGAAATATCTCTGGCTTCCTCATAAAATGAAGCATTTTTCACAGATAAAATCCAAAGGCATTGGTTTATTGCACAAATCAGACATCATCTGTTGAATGAAAAGCTATAGATAGCCAGAAGCCCATGAATGCAGACTCTATACAGCATAGGCTGCTCCTCAACCAGAGATGTCAAAAACATCTTACTTCAGCTGAGAAGGAAAAAAAATGGTTCTAAGTCCTATGTTCCGCTAAAATTTTATTTTACATTACATGTGGAAAAAACAGGTCAAAGTCTGAAGGAAAGGAGTAGAGTCTTTTAAGCTTTTATTGTCTCTCTGAATCCACTGTTTGAAAGTGGTTGAGTAAAATTAATAAAACTTAAAAAATTTGATCTAGTGCTATTCATTTATCCATAAACTTATCGCACTTGTCCCTTAGCATTTTGCAGTGACACCGAACTTTTTTAGTCATTAACAGGCCTCTGGTTGAACATCTGAGTAGTTTTCTCATCGAAAACAAAGTATGTATCAAATATGGAGGTATTTTAGGAGGATGAAACACAATAGAATATTCCCTCAGAATTGTTATATATATATATATAAAAAAAAAAAACAACAAAAAAAACACCCATAGTAACTTCTTTAGGATTAGATTAAGCCAGACTAACACTAGGCTTCTGAAATAGGCTGTGACCAAATCCACTTTGACCATTGTGGCCAGTTTAAACAACCAGGATACATTCCAGTTTGTGAATGTACTTCATCCATCTCAGAATCTCAATCTCCTCAGCCTTCTTGGGGGCACCGAATTAAAATGTCAAAAGATAGGCCAGGTACTCAATTGAGAAACTATCAGTTTATTACTCCACATCTTTGGCTTTGATAGAAGAGTGACAAGAGGAAAGCCATTATTTTAAAAAAAAACATTATAAATTTAGTGTAATATGCCCCTAAAAGCCACATAGGGGAATTGGCAAAAACAAGGAAGAAATAATTTCTTCTTCTGTCCAATTAGGCTATGTTTTTTTATTTTTATTTAACCTTTTTTTAACACCTGCGATGGACTGGCGACCTGTCCAGGGTGTACCCCATAGACAGCTGGAGATAGGCGCCAGCACCCCTCACGACCCCACTTGGGATTAAGCGTGTCAGAAAATGGATGGATTGATGGATGTCTTCCAAACAAAACCCTGCATGGTGGATACCTTCAATCTCCAAAGTTTAATTTCTAACAGTGCAGAATCTTTAAATCAGTGCTACAATGGAAGATCTTAAAAACATTGCACATTAACCTGAATACTGTAAAGCACAGCTGTGGCAGCATTATGCTGTGGGGATGCTGAAATCATTTCCATATTTTGGAATGATCCAGTTCAAACCTAAATGCAATGGAGAATATATAGAAATACTTTCACAGATGCTCTCAGTCCAGTTTCCTGAAACTTAAAGTGTTTTGTAAAGAAGATGGGCAGAAATCTCTCCTGAACAGAAACACTCCCCAAAAGATTCTCATCTGTAGCTGAATTTAAAAAGTGTTCCATAAAGTAAGCCAATACTTCTGCTATACATTGTGACTTGGTTTTAAACTTAGATACGTAACCACTACCTTTGTATAGAGAGTCTTTAAAGGGAAAGGAAATAATATAAATTAAAAATGGAAAAATATTCATACCTAATTAGAATAATTATTTTATTTTAGAGAACAAAGGATATTCATTGCATT